AAGATCTTGCGCCACGATGCCACGTCCCCCCTGGGTCACTGGCGCAGCGCTGCGTCTTGTTCAGTTTCGTTATTATACGCCATATACCCGTCTAATACTTATGTAGAATTACTGATGGATTTGAACGGTGTCAAGGTACACTTTCTGACGCAACTCATGTGATCCTAGCTGCACTAAGTTCAAATACTAGCTTTGATCTGCGCCATGTTTCTTTTCACCACACATTTTACTGTGGACCCCAACAGTTAGATTCCTATCTCCCATAGTGGTTCTGCAACGCACGATCGACCTCCACTGCAATATGTGCAGTGATATAAGGGCATAGCGTAGAACAACCCTCCCACATAGGAAACGTGGCGTGCTTACTGCATTTTTAACAGGCTTAACGATCTATGACATCTTACTCTCAGCGTGGACATTTGCGAAATTATAACAAAGGTATAAGACTAGACTGTGTTTTGCTCTGCCTCGTTTTGTAACAAAATCAACAATTTATTTCAACAAAAACAAAGTTACTTCTTTGAGTCGAAGTACTGTTGTAAAACTTGTTTCCCAATCTCTTCATTTCCGTAATCCTTGACGACAGCACAGGAACATCCAACAACTTTGCGGGCCTTTCCTTCCTTGTCATACTTGCAAAGACCGCACCACTCTCCGATGATTTTCTTGTCTGCTACCTTGATGAGCGGGATGTTGTGCTCATTGCATAAAGCTTCCACCAGCTTCACGTACATTGGCTCGTCACAATTCTCAGCAAGCACGCAGAAGTGCGCCTCACGCCTAAAACACAAAATTGCCACATCGCTCTCACCATTAGGTATGTGCTGTAATTACCAAAAGAAGTGATTAACAAATTGTTCGCCTCCTTTGGCACCCGACAATGTGAAATAGACAAAGCGGATGTGGCAAGTCAGCAAATATTCTTGCACACGACAGGTAGAGAACAGATCAATGACAGATCAAATACTCTGTTTTTGTGTGCCAAAACAGAAGAAGTAAAACACATACTTATCGAGAGCCTTGGTTGCCTCATGGAGACCTTTGGCAAGTCCATCAGCGAAGTTAGCTGAGCGTAGCACAGCTTTCAACGCGGCCTGCACGTCCATAACCGGTGGAGCGGCTGCCGATGGGATCTTGACTTCATCTCTGCAAACGTTAATGTGAATTTAGGAAACAGTACACAACAAAATACAACAAGAAAGACGAACCCTCCTGCGTCAGCCATGTTCCTTAGCAAGAGTCCTTGATGACCTACTGAAATATACAGCAATCATCTCCTCTATTCTGCCAAAGGAACGAGACAGACACAACAACTACGAGTTCCGTGAGGAAATGAAAGATACTGTGCGTACGAAGCACAACTCATTGATACTTCTCAAAAGTGCGTTGCAAAACCACATTGCTTTTCTAATTCCAGAGAAAAAAATGGCGCTGTTAGTTCAAGGGAAGGGTGGGGTGGGAGGATTTTTGGCTACGCATGTCAAGTGACTGCCCTCACCCCCCCCCTAGATTGGCTACACTCCCCTGGCTCACGAATTCCCCGATTCTCGTGACAGTATAGTAGCGGGCAGCAGTCCCACTTACATACATTTCTGTTCAAAAAATGCGGCGTGCCCACCCTACTTGTATAGCACCCCATCACGCTTGAGACGACGTGCCGCCGCGTGGTCCTCTCTCCCTGACCGTAGCACCGATTTCCTACGGTACAAGAGATCACGCTAGCACTCATTTAGGACTAATAAGGCGCCTTAGGAAGAGGAACTTCGAATTGCGTAAGCAACTTTCGGTCTAGGTGCTAACCGGGGGACCACGCGGCGGCGCGGCAGTCTGCTCACCTGGGCTCTCTCGAGCGAGACAGTGTAAACTCGAACATTCCAGCTTTTCACGCATGTCAAGTGACTGCCCCACCCCACCCCCTAGACTGCCTACACTCCCCCTGGCCCACGGATTTCCGAACACGCAAAGGTGCCAGGCGAGCAAAGCGCCGCGTGGTCCCCTCCCAACTAAGTTGGCACCTCGGTCTAATCGGAAATTTGTAGCGCAGTAGTCCCCGAACTAATTTGCACCCATTTTTCATTCCCACCAGAGCAACCACCCTGCTCTCATACACGGTCCTAGGTGCGCTCGAACATCATAACTATAAATTAAAATGTGTGTGCGCTATTCAATACTCTAGTCGCCACTGTGCTAATTGGAGAGGGTGATGTGGGAGGCAATGTTGAAGAAAAATCGACCCTCAACGAACAAGAAAACCCGGCTGGATCAGGGTTGCGACTTCATTCCAATACGATGTCGCAGTTCCGGTAATATTTCCTACTCTATAGGACCCCTTCTCGGGCCTACACCCATTCCGCCTTACTACAAGTTAGCACAAGCGTAGGGAAATGGACCACTCATCGACTTAACTGATACAACTGTACACCAATAGACAGGAAAAGCGAAGGTCAAGAAAAAAGAAACACGGCACTTCTGCGGACGTAAAAGGTGACTGAAATACCCTATCGATGACCTAAACCAAAATACTTGGCTGCGTATCAACGTTTGCATAGCGTGTCGTTGAGTTGACGCGCATGAAACACGGGGCGCTTTTTAACCATGGAGCGCGACAGTGACATGGCCCCTATCGGCCGCTTCCAAATCGTGGACGATTGCACTGCAACGTAGGTATCTTCGATTTGGACGTGTTGCCCGATCGGTCAATCACCGTACGGAATATGCAAAGAAGTTAATATGGTTTCATGCTCATGTAATCGTAGACAACCAATGAGCAAATGCACGTCCCTGTGCAGTAAAACCACATTTCTTTCAAATTTTTTGATGAGGACGCAAGAGCATTCTAGAGTAGACATTCACACCCGTCTAAGTGACGCAGTACTCCAGGCAGCATGGTCACTATTGAGATATGTTATTGACTTAGAAGCACGGGGGTGTGTGGAACACTTCGTTCGCTCTCACACCCATCTTGAAGCTTGCAAAAAATGGGTAATTGTAAGGAAGGAAACTACTACGCGGAAGCCCCCTCTGTGCTACTTAGTTGGGGGGGGGAATGCGCGGCGCGGGTCTGTTCACCTGGTGCCTCTCTCTACAAGAATTGTTAAACTTCGTAACATTACACTTCTTCAACGCATTGTCATTGACTGAGCTCGACCCCAAACCCCTGAATGCTACACTCACCCTGGCCCATCGGATTTCGAACAGCAAGCGGCAGATGTCTGGCGACCGCGTGGTGCCCCCCCAACTGAATTCGTCACCGCCTACTCCACCTTAGATTATGAAACGTGACTGCTCCGCGTCGATTTCTAAGATGATGCAGCAAGAAATTAGGGAGAACTATTTGGTTCTTCTAGCTGTATTCAGATTCTACTCGCTTCCAGGGCCAATTTGTGGAAAGTTTGTTCATAACGAGTGTGGATCGACTTCATGATTTGTTTGTGGTTAAGGAAGTTTGAATGCATTCGATATGCTCCAAGGACATATTTGCGCCCCATTTCGAATACGCGTTCAAAATAACGTTTCGCGCTGCGAAAGCGTATGTTGTATATTATTTTGTCCTTACTTTCCTAATTCTGGCGGTTGCGCTTGAGACCGGCGTTTCATCATTAGGGTTATGGCAGAATGACTGTGGCAAAGTGAGCTGTTGAAATGAATAATGGTTCGAAATCGGTGCGGGCCAAGTGAACGATAATTCGAACGTGATCAAAAATCTGGGAAATTCTCTATTAGAGGTGTCTTTGTTTTCAAATCACGGTAGTATTCAATCTCAGAAAAAGATGGTAATTATATTTCTACAAGGCGAGATTCGCCGAAATTGAGTGAGAATACTTCAGTCGTTTCAAAGTGATGTGAGCATGATCTTGGTCGGTTCATTTTGTTCAGTTTTCAAGCTGTTCTCTAGAAAGGGAATAGTTCTCCATGAAACAGGCAAGGTTGAGGTATGCCAGGGTTGTTCCTTGGATTTATTTGAAATTTCGAAAGTTCTCTAACCATAACAAGAGGAGATATCATGGACGGTGGGATACAATCTACATAAAAGGCCACTCAAACAGTGATACCGGCTGGGGCATGTAGCACCCACACACCACTTATTGCTGAGCGTTCAAACAGAAGGTGGTAGGGTTGCAGTGAACAGCAGTTATTTTATAGTAATAGGCGGGATGTGCTCGGGGGGGGGGGGCAGTCGCCGGGCGGGCGCTCCTCTACGCTCGTGGTAAGTGAATATGCCGAGGGGGGAAAGGGCAGTCAGCTTGACATCCGTAAAAAATTGAAATTTCGAGTTTATGTGATGTGGAGTGCCCCCCCCTAGAAACATTGACCCTGTAATAGAGTACATGCTTCAATTGCAACCAACTATCGCATCAGCCATTGGGTCGCAATCAATGTTGCCAAGTACCGGCTGCAACTAGCAGATGACTGGCTGGCAGCGTTTTCAGTGGCGGTTGTGAGATGTTTATACCTACTTTTTACACGGAAAATACTGATAAAGGTAGAAGCATTCGTGATCAGTAAAGTTGGGATGGGCCACACACTCCTCTTCCTTTCGGAGTCGTAGTGACATTCGAGCGCGACTCGGCCCATGCATGGCCCACAATAATCGACACAGCGTTTTTAATCCTACCAAACATGAAAGATGGGATTTAAAAGAAAGCATGGGTGTTTTGGTCAACCTGGATAGGTCGGAACGTGGATTGACCCTGAAGTTTGCCTATAGAAAGCAGCGCCACTAGCCATAGCACCATTTCCGATCCCATGAGGACCGTAATTGATCAAAACTAACAATTTACTTGTTGATTCTCGATTGCATGTAAGAAGCGATCGAGAATCAACAAGTATATTAAAAGCTTTTCCACGCAGATGATTGATCCATTTATCGTGCGATAGGCAATTACGCTATGCTTTTTCTAGTGCTTTACCCGGTGTCAACCTCGCTTGGTCGTTCTCGTGTTGAGTTCGTTGTTAGTTCGCAACATTCTCTAATCTTTCGGTCAGCATTTTAGGTGATCATGACCGACCCAGATGGCAACAATCCACAAACTGAAGAAGAATGTAATCTTGCTATGCAAGCAATCATGAGTAAAATGGCAGAACAGTTGAGCTTCGGGTCGAAGGTTCTAATCCAAGGTCAAGAAGACATACTCACTCTTTCAGAATACGAGGTGAGCGCAGCAGGACATCTACTACTCTCGTTTTGCTGAATTTATCACCTGATTTAGGCGCTCTTCGCCGCCGACATAAAAATATGTGAAAACGCTCTCGATATTGTCGCGGATCTTGCCAGAAAACAAAAAGCCTACTTGGAAGCAGTGGTAATGCTTGATTTCTTCTTATCTTTCTAATCACCTACTTGATGGCTTAGACCGCAGAAAATGGCCCTTGGTGCAAGGCAGATATTATTTGTTTCACCAAAGTTAGCTTTGGAAGGCAGGGAAATGGAATCATTTTATCGTATGGTTTTTTAAATAGACCTAAAGACAGAATATAAAGCTGTAGGGAAGGGAAATGTTGATGCAGAGGTAGTTGTGTGTGAATCACCATTGAATTCGTAATCTCCAGACGTTACAAACACAATTAGGTACTCACTGCTCGTTTCACATTTTAACATTGACGATATCGCCAGAGTACCCTAATCGTTGAATGGATGGTCTATTTGAACAGGCTTTGTAGCGATGTATGGGGAAAATGTCTTCAAATTCCGTGTGGCTGTTCTACCGAGATTCAACAGTTGGACACAAAAAGGGTAAAATAAGATTCCCTTCCAAAATCTTCGCGTTTATACGATATTCGGCGTGAGATACTGCACAACCTGTGGAGAACATAAGGTGTGTCAGGAGAAATGCGTGGTGTACAAAGTGGTGTGCCTTACTTGTAACGAGTTTTACATCGGAGAAACATCAGGCCACTACACAAGAGGATGGATGAACACCGAAGACCTTTAAGTAGCCTACAGAAGCACCTGGAAAATCCATTAGACATCGCACACTCCGGCATTCGCAGGAGGGACCGCACAAACTTTTCGTCTCCATTCTTGTAGAAATGTGGTGGATCCAGTCGAAAAGGAAAATAAGGGAGCGCTAGAAGTAAGAGATCAGGAGCCACTTATAAACAATTCGCTTTGAATCACCTCACCTGTATCACCTGTCGTCCCGTTGATCATCGAATTGCTCGAGCGGGCGCCAGCAACGTCTCCATTCGTCCCTGTCGCGTGCAAGAGTTGTCCAGTGGACCCTCCTCGCTCGAGGGACACGAAGCCTTCATTCCTTTCGTTCAGAGCTTTCGTGAAGAAGTCTGACCATCGGGCCGGCGGTCGTCCAGGTGTTCGTTTGACGTCCCGAGGGATCCAGTCGGTAACCGCTCTGGTCCAACGGTCATCGCAAAATCGCATGACGTGTCCGGCCCACCTTATCTTCGATTCCTTGGCGAAAACGGCAGATCTTCGATCGTTGGCGTAGTTCGAACTCCGGATTCCCCTCTGCACTTGCGTGTATAGGGTTACTCCTAGCATCGTCCTCTCGACAGCGCGTTGGATAACGCTGACCGCATGCTCGTCCTGCCTGCGCAGAGTCCAAGTCTCTGAGGCGTAGGTTAGGGCAGGAAGGACAGCGGAATCGAAGAGGTGGGCACGGAGCCGGATGTTCTTCGTCTTCTTCACTACTGTTCTTGTACGCTCCCCAAGCCGCTCGTTTCCTCCTGCTCAGCTCTGGAGCTAGATCGTTCATCATATTGATTTCCCGACCTAGGTACACGTAGCTGCTTGAATGCTTTTGAAAATTCGGTATATCCTGTCTATAAGTACTTGAGATAGAGACTCGTTCGCTAATGACTTTCAATTAATATAAAAGTCGAAGATGGCCAAGCGAGGTGTAAAAGGAATGGATAGATGAAAGTCTTACAATATGAAAGAGAATAATCGTATTTGGGACTTTGTAGAAATCAGAAAAACAAACATATGTGTGGAGAACATGATTTGGAAGTAGCAGTATAAGTTTTTTCCCGATTGGTTGAGTTTTGGAATTATGAAATTTTTTGGAGGTTGCTGTGAAGCGGTTTGAGCGGTCACTTCCATCAACTTTAGCTAATGCGTTCAAACAGGCAGATGTGGAAACGAATAATGCACGTGGTGGGTGGATTTTGTATCATTACTTACCATGTGTTTTTTCTCAATTCACCTTCAGATTTACGCAAGCGATTGAAGGAAGGTGATTACTCATTCTTCGTATCCGTTTATGCTAAAGGCGACATTGATGTGAACACGGCGCTGCTTTCTTGCAATACCTCAGGCAACACTACCAGACCTTTTGTGTCGACGATAACGGATCACTTGAGCAACACTGCGGACGGAGTTTCCAGGTACTAGTCAGCAGTACTTCACTCGTTATTGGCTGGGTTGGTCTGCTTGAATTGTATTTTGAAGTGTTAGAATTGTTTGATTAAAGTTTCTGAGCTCTTCGGAATACACCTCTCTCTTCTCTCTTACTTACCTTTTCTTCAAAAACTCGCGGTATAGTGGGTGGGCTAGCCTTGTCTTCGGAAATAAACACTTCTCCATTATTGAGCGAACATGACCCAAGAAATTCTTTTTTGTTGGTGCAGGGCAAAAATGTCACCTTCGTATTTTTACATTGCTTCACTTACGGAATATTTTTCAATTATAGGTCCACTGCTTTCACGTCTTCCTGCTTAACAAAGGAATCCTCCCTGACATCGCAAATTAGAGAAAGTAACTATTGCTAATGTATTTCAGTGTAACAGCTTGATTTTCTTGAAGTTGGATTATCAGCGTTTGTTTAAGGACCACAGTATGCATCTGACACAGCTCGTCGTTTTCTAAATGAGATTCAGCCGAACGCAAGGAATGTTTCTTCCAAAACAGAGTCCAAAACGTGAGTAGAAATATGGGTGCTAACTTAGTTGGGGGGGGGCACGCGGCGGCGCGGCAGTCTGCTCACCTGGGCTCTCTCGAGCGAGACAGTGTAAACTCGAACATTCCAGCTTTTCACGCATGTCAAGTGACTGCCCCCAC